TGACAAGAAGTCAGTCCCCTTGGCACCAGGTGCAACATGTCTCCCGTGCTCCCCCACCCTCCAGTCGCTGGCCCCAGACCCTCAGTGCCAATCACCTTTGCAACCTGAGATCCCTGTAGGGTCTGAGAGGCACAGGGAGGCAGAAATCAAGGATTCTGTAGTTTAAATATGTGAAGTGTGACAACCCACCAGACCCTCCGTGGCCTAGCAATGTTGGCGCAGAACAGGTGGAGGGTGGAGGGGTGGGGGTGGGGGCAGGTAAAGCCAGGAGGCCTCCGGAGTCCAGGGTAGAAAGGAGCCAGATCACATTTCCGTAGGCAAGCAGGGTTTTATCTTCCGTAAGACAGCGGTAACCCATTTGTCTGTCTTCAAGGCACAGCTCTTCTTGCCTCCTCTCAATTTGAATCTATGGGCAGAGAACCGAAAAGGCATCGAGTCACCCACCAGGCACCACACGAGTCCCCTTGCCCCTGCTTGCTTACTGCTGGGTGCCCCTACGCTGCTGTCTCTCTAACAGGTGCAGTCACTGCGCCAGACCCGTGGCGGGCTTACCGGGGGCGCACCCACACTTCAGGGGAGCTTCTTAAACGGCCTTTCCTGCGCCCCTTTCCCTGAGATTTTCCCCGGTGCGTCAGGGTGGAGCTGAAGGCTGTCAACATCCTGAGGATTAGCAGGCATGGAAAATTCCCCTCCTGGGGATCTTGGAGGGCTTCTCTGCGCTATCTTTTCCCCTGTCTGTACGTTAGGGACGCTCAGTTAGGGACGCTCAGTCATTCTAAGGGTGTGTGTGTGTGTATGTGTGTGTGTCTTTTCTGATCTGCCCCCTCCCACACCCCACCCTCCTGGCTCCTAAGCTTGGCCATGGACCAAGTAGACCAGTTCTGCCCTTTATTATCTGGGTGATCTCAGACAACTCTCTCTACCTCCCTGAACCTCAGTTTTCATGATAATGAAAATATGTGACCCCAAGATGATTAACCAAGACAGTATACACGAAAGTGCCTTCTAGACACCGAGCGACAAGGTGATAACGACCTGGATGCAGCTATGGTGTGTACTCCACCTCACAGGCAGGACTGCAAAGGAGCACCAGGAGAATGCAGGGCAGAGTCACCTGCCCAAGGCCACCCAAGGCTAGAGGCTGGCAAATCTGGAGTCAGGCACTAATCGTGACGCCCTCACTCTTCTTGCTGTGCAGTCATACCGGGAGCGTGTAGGCAACTCCCTTACTACTGTGTTAGGATAGAACACTTGGCTCCTCGGAGCGCCAAAAACTAGTCACTGCAGGAACACACCGGTGCAGGCGAGGACGCGCGGAGCTCCCCCTGGCGCCCACCCTCAGCTCTGCACCCAGGTTTTGAAGGCCTTGCTCCCAGGGTTTAGAAACCTTACTCCGGTGGGACATCGCCATCTAGCGACCGCTTTTCTAATTCCAGTAGCGGTTTCTGTTCTCTGGAGGGGAAGTCAGGAATTGAACAGGGAATGGCACTCACATTAGACGATCCTGGTGGGAGCAGGAGGAACTGGAGTTTCTGTAACACAGGATGCTCTTCGGGGAAATCGCTTTCTTTACAGATGTGAAGCAACAATTGGAAGACGACACGTGCACTAGAAGAGAGACACAAAAATGGTTCACATTTCGTCAACCTGGCTTTCTTTTCTCTCTTTCAACAACAAAAACCGCCCTGGCCGGTTTAGCTCCGTGGATAGGGTGTCAGCCTGCAGACCAAAGGGTCCCTGGTTCAATCCCTGTCAAGGGTGCAACCAATCCATGTGTTCTCTCACATTGATTTTTCTCTCTGCCTTTCCCTCTCCCTTCCACGCTCTCTAAAAAAAAAATAAAAATCAAAACAACAAACAAAAAACCCTTCCAGGACAGGCTCAGGCTTTGGGAGGGCCCTGGGGCAGCACTGTCCCACCAGCCACCTAGTTCTGTGTTTAGGCAGAGTCAGGACACTGGGGTTCAGATCTTAGCTCCCCACAAACCAGTGGGTGGCCTTGAGCAAGATCTCCGGGGCCCCAGACCTCCCATCTGTAAGATGAACCAGTCTCTAGACTGGTTTCTAAAGGCTCTTCCACCTCTGACATCCCACCACTCGCGTGAGGTTCTGCCCCAACATTGGGGTTCAAGAATCTCATGCCCTGGGGGCCTGGTGAGTCTGGCCCATGCAGGACAACTATGGTCTTGGGGCAGAATTAGACACCGTTCAAGGAGCTCAAACTGAGAGAGTGACAACGGAAGTCAGCTCCCCCACTGGCTCTCAGAATGCCCTGCCCCCCTGTCCTCAGCTCTGTCCTGACCCCTCACCCGACCCTGCCTGTTTCTACACCCCGGCCCACACCCCACCCTCCTGGCTCCTTCCTCCTGGTCTTACTGTTTACAAAGCCCCTTTGGTGTATCTATCATTCTCTAAACAGCCTTGGATGTTAGACATTCTCAGTCCCACGTTAATGATGGGGAAACCAGAGTTTGAGAAGTACAGTGACTTGCCGAAGGCTGGCCAACTCTCACAGCCCCGGGTCCTGACCTCTGCCCTGTATCTGTTACCTTGTGGAGGCAAGACCCAGGGCCCCTCTGGACCTCAGGCCTCCAGCTAGTAACCTCACAGCCCCTCCATCTGTCTGCAGGGGCTGGACGAGGCAGGGCCTCCTTTTGCAGGAGCGAGTGGCTCAGCTGTCTGTGGTTGCCCAAACTCCTGGTTCTCCTACGGGCCCTGTGCCCCACCCATTCCCCCTCTTCCAGAAGAATTCTTCCCGGAGCAGGCGAGATGGAGGCAGGGAGTGTAGGGTGAGCTCTGTCTGCAACCCCAGGGTGCCTGCCCACATTGCTGCCCTCCCCAAGGTGAAGCTAAGGGACGCCAGCCCCACTCACGGCTCCAGCTGTCCCCATCCTGCAGCCACGTCCCCATCAGCAGCAGGCACACCAGGGCCGTGGTGGTGAGCTTCATCGCGGGCTGGCTCGGGTCTCTCTGGAGAGGTCTCACGAGTCTGGTGAAGCAAGTGCTGTCCGTGCCCCATCCCGCCGTGGCCAGGGTTTTTATAGAGCGAAATGGGTGCTCCCAGGTGGGGAAGTCATGGGGAGAAGAGGTGGGCACACAGGTCCAGGGCCACGTTGACCACGCCCTCCCCACCCCTCTGAGGGATGCAACGCGCAAGTGCCTGGAAACTTCCCACGTGCAGGAGCAGATAGGGATCTTGACAAAGTGAGTAGGAGCTGCCCCCTGAGAAGCTGAGAAGAGTGAGTGAGAGGAAGTGGCCTGCTTGTGGCTTCTCTGATCCCACATCTTTTCATCCAGGGATGCGGCCGCTGTCCCCAGCTAAAGGGCTCTGGGCCAGGACTAAGACACGTGTGCATTTGGTCCCCAGTTCTGCCAATCAGCAGTTGCGTTAACTCGCCCCAGTCACCTATCCAGTGCTATGTGCGAATGGTTGCATATGACTCATTGTTGTGCATATGACTCAATGTTTGAGCCCTGCCTGTATATTTCCCATTTCAATGATCTCATCACCGGACAGCTTGCCCTGTTCCAGCAAATCACTGAGATGCACACCTGACCTCCAGCTGCTGCCCTTTGACTCACAGATAAACAGTAAAAGGCACCCAGTGTCGGGACAGTGGGAGATGAAGGCATCAGAGAGACCTCCCAGGGAATGTTCACCAAGCAGTCTCCCACGGAGGGCTGAATGGGATGGGGCATGCCAATAGAGGAAGGGGCTGTGAGGCAAGATGGAGAACATTCATTCAGAGATGCCAGGTGGAGCTGGAGTAGGGGGTGGGGTGTCAGGGGAGTGACAGGAGTGAGGAAATGGCTGGGAGAGATGCGACTGTACAGCTACGGAGTGGCCAGGTCATGAAGCCACTGTGCGCAGTGCTTACAATAAGTAGCACGTAGTAGATGCTCAAGAAAGAGGAGCTGGGCCGAATCTGAGGGTTAAGACCATGAGGCCAGCGTGCACTCTGTGCTCATCGAGTGTGGGCCGGGCTGATCTGCGCGGCCGAGCACTCTCTAGCTCACAAGGCAGCAGTGGCTTCCCATCGTCAAGTGCACGAAGCTCAAGCTGCTCATTCGTGGCTCCTCCTGGAACGTCTCCTTGGGTTCCTGCGTGTCTCAATATTTTCGATTCCCGAACTTGCCACATGCTTTTCTGTGTCCAGGACTTTGCTTCTGCTGTAACCTCCACCCTCAGGGCCCTCCTCGCTGTCTCCCTCTGTGAACTTTCTGCCCATTTCCAATGCCTTGTCTCCTTGAAGACCCTTCTGCTATTCCCATCCAGCCTCCTTTGAAGAGCCCCCACCCCCACGCCTGGATCTCCCCCATGAAGGTCTCAGATCTCTGCCACCCCTCTGCTCCGTGCATTCTTCGGAGAAACACCTGGGTGGGCGCCCTGGCGTGTCAGAGTTGAACGGGCCTGGAAGACCATATGCCAACAGTGGCTCTGGAAGTGTCCTGGGTGAAAGATGTCTTGGCCTTGTTTCAGAACCAGAATCAAAACCTAAGTACCGCCCTGGCTGGTTTGGCTCAGTGGATAGAGCGTCAGCCTGCAGACTGAAGGGTCCTGGGTTTGATTCCGGTCAAGGGCACATGCCTGGGTTGCGGGCTTGGTCCGATGTGCAGGAGGCAGCCAATCAATGATTCCTTCTCATCATTGATGTTTCTATCTCTCTCTTCCTCTTCCTTCCTCTCTGAAATCAAAAATATATATTTTTTACAAAAACCAAAAAACAAATAAAAAAACCTAAGTACCGCTCTGGGCTGGCATGGCTCAGTGGTTGAGTGTCATCCTATGAAATAGAAAGTCACAGTTCGATTCCTGGTCAGGGCACATGCCCAGGTTGCGGGCTTGATCCCCAGTGGGGGGCATGCAGGAGGCAGCCGAATGATAATTCTCTCTCATCATTGATGTTTCTATCTCTCTCTTACTCTCTGAAATCAATACAAATATATTAAAAATAACAAACTAAAAAAACAACAACTTATGTACCTATACTTGTAATTCAGGCCCCAGAAGATAAGAATCATGTATCCAGCACATTCTCTTCATATTACAGATGGAAAAAAGGCATCTCAGAAAGAGGAAACTGACTTCCCAAGGTCACACTGAAAAGTATTGCAGAGATGGGACTATGGACACTCAGGCCACCTGAACATCTGACCTCCACCTCCATCGGTTCCCATGCTCCCGCCAGCTGCGGCCTGCCGCCCACAAAGTACTTGAGGTAGTAGACATGACTAGCTGTTGTCACTCTCCTAGTCTCTTTGTCTTTGCAGATTGTACTTTTAAAAATTCCTTTACTGTCAGTTTGGGGGGGGGGGGCGGTTGGGAGAGAAAAGAGACAAAGGTATGTGACCAATCTGCTGACTGTTGTAACCGTAGGTCCTTTAGAGTCACTTGGGACATGGAGAGGACAGATGTGGTCACCCAGGAAATTCTTCCCTTCTCTTGGGGACACAGCCGGCCCACTCGAGAAGGGGACGGGGCTGCCCCTCCAGAAACTCACTTCTCCTCCCCCGTCACTGGGAGCCAGGACTGGGAAGGAGAGAACAGAGAGCTTAGTCATGCTTCCCCTTCTGGGCTCCTCAGCACCGGCCCCAGGAGAACTGGCTGAGACCCTCTCACGCAGGACCTAGTGCTCCACACACCGGTCTGCCCAAGCCCAGCCTGGCCTCTTCCTCTCTAGCCCCTGGCAGAAAGGTGAGGGCCAAATAGTCAGTACATCAATAAAATGCGTGGACTTGAATGTGGTGGGTCACAATGGCCTAGGATGGATCGAGAGGCAACCCTGAGCCAGTTGTTTCTATGAACAACCCTTTTTTAGACGTTTGAGAACCAGGAAGTGCCCATAGAAAGGTTTTCTCAGTCATCTTTTATGAAATAGGTTCCCACCTCTGGACCAGGCCCCAGCTGCCTCCTGCAAATACAAGCCCAGCTCCCAGTCAGGCCCCGCAGCGTGCAAACGCCTTGGGATTCAAAACCCTTTCTCGCATTTTCCAGGGCCTCTTACACTCCGCTGGGGTTCCTTTGCCCCCTATTTTCTCTCTCACATTCAGCACTTTTGTTTTTGGAGGAGGCCTCTCTTGTCTGGCTCTTGTGACACCGTGAAGGGGGCATTAAGCATCTTTTGTAGCAACAGCAAACCTTCAGGTGCCCAGAGAAAGTCATCAGCTCTTCAGTGTGTGGACACAGCCTCTGAGCTACTGAGCTGACAACAACTCAGGCCCCTGTGCCCGAGAGGAAGGACAAATGTCCCCGCTTACACAGTCCGACACAATGCGGCCACACATGGGAACTTCACTCTCCCTTCCGCCTCATCGGGCTGACTAGCTGCAGGCCGGCTCACCTGGGCTCCCCCCCGCCCGGCCCCCTGTGAATGGGACTTGCTCCTTTAGCCGTTGTATTGCCTGATGGGCCACACCCCTCACTCGTCTGTAGGCCTGTACAGAGTGGCTCAACATGGAGCCCAGGGACAGGGCTGTGGGCCAGGCTTCACAAGATCCTGATCACCAAGCGTGGGCCTTGGGACCGGACTCTCTTGGCAGGGCTTTTTGCACTCTCTTGGCAGCGGAAGGCCATGAACCATTTTTTATTCAGAATAGGGGTGTGGTCAGATTTGTGATTTGGACTGAAGGCTTGTGCAAGACAAGGAATGAAGTCACACTTAGACGTGAAAGAGTCCAGGAGAGGTGGCAGGTGAGGTTCTTCAGTGAAGGAGCATAAAAACATGCTTCCCACCCACCCTCCCCTGCCTTCAAAAGGTGCATAGTTTTGATTCAAGGCCAAACAGCTCAGAATCACAAAAGCTTTCTGAATCCAAACCCCTGTCCCGCCTACCGGGCTTCTCTGAGCTCCCGACTTCCTGGTGCTTTCTAAGTTTCAGCTGGAAGCATTTTGCTGGGCCCACGGCTCCTGGGGTAGCTGGGATCTAAACGCCTCAGGGACTGGGATCAGCCTGTTAGGCTCTATTGCCTGGACCCTGCCAGGAAGGGAAGGTGACTCCCGGAAGGCTCCCTCCGCATCACAGGCCTGACCCGAAGGCCAGTTCCACCAGGGTGGCTGGTGGGCAGGGGTCTGCCCACACTTGGAGACCCAGAGTCACTGGGCCAAACTGCGGAGGGTCCCAGGGCACCCAGGCTGGGGACTTCGGGTGGAGTGAAGTGGTGGGATGGGACGCCCTGGGGAGGCTTTTCAAAGCACTCCTATTGCCCTAGACCAGTGATGGCGAACCTTTTGAGCTCGGCGTGTCAGCATTTTGAAAAACCCTAACTTAACTCTGGTGCCGTGTCACATATAGACATTTTTTGATATTTGCCACCATAGTAAAACAAAGACTTATATTTTTGATATTTATTTTATATATTTAAATGCCATTTAACAAAGAAAAATCAACCAAAAAAATGAGTTCGCGTGTCACCTCTGACACGCGTGTCATAGGTTCGCCATCACTGCCCTAGACTCAGCATATGAAGTTCCAGAGTGGGGCTCAAGCACATGTCTTTTGATAAAAGGTTCCCGAATAATCCTAACATGCATCCCACTTCCAGGGAAAAGAGTCACTGAGTTAGGCAACCCTCCTGCATTTCAGGTGAAGAAACTGAGGCACAGAGACAGAAAGTTACCTGCCAGAGGTCCCAAAGAAAATGAGCAGCAGGGCCCAGAGGGCCCATTTTCATATATAATATATATATATGGAGAGAGAGAGAGAGAAGGAGAGAGAGAAACATCAGTGATGAAAGAGAATATTTGATCAGTTGCTTCCGGCACAACCCCTACTTGGGATCGAGCCTGCAACCCAGGCATGCGCCCTGACCAGGAATCAAAGCATGACCTTCTGGTTCATAGGTTGATACTCAACCTCTGAGCCACACCAGCCGGGCCCCATTCCCCACGGAGCAGGAAGAGCCCCTAGGAGGAATCGGGGTGGGTCATCTCACTTGAGAGATGAGGAGCAGGAGGCCCAGAAAGGAAAAGTGAGTTGCCACATGGGGCCCCAGTGACGGCAGCCTGAAGATAAATCACTGGGCTCGGCCTCTGTGATTTCCTGGCTTTGTGCTCAGGTCCGGAGAGCTGGGCTGAAGCCAGAAGGAGAAGGTGGGCATGACCGGGCCCCGAGGATGCTGGGAAGCCCTGGAGGATTCCCACAGCCCATCTGGAGGTCAGGGCACGGTGCCAACTTTGCAGGAAATGGTGGGAAAAGCACCCCAGCCTTTCCACCTTGCAGAGCAGGGGCAGGAAGTGGCAGCAATCTGACTCCAAAGTATGCCCACCAAACCCAACAAGGCCACCATGATTCAGTCACACCCACAGCCTGTTGGGAAAGTCCCCCGAGGAGCCCTTCTCTCTCTGGGGAGGCAGATGGATAGCCTGGGTCCCACCACAACCCACAACACAGTTCCCAGTACACCCTGTACCCACAGCTTTGTTCCCAGGCTCAGCTCAGAGTTGGCCTACACCGAGAGATGCCACCATTGCCATATGTGTCCTGGGCTGTGGAGTGAGCTGATCAGACCACAGAGAGTGCACTGAGCTTACACAGCTCACCCCTCAGAACTGGGGCCAGGCCTTGGATACACTGACATTCAGGTATCCTGGCCATCACCTCTGTCCTCTGGTGCAGGGGTGGGGAGTGTCCATCCCGCTGGCCATATAAGGCCCCAAAAATCATTTGGTCTGACAAGGCATTAAGCAGTAAATTAATTAAATGTTTGACCAAATAGAGCAGGCTAATTTTTAAGTTGATAATTTTGTATGGTCTGCAAATGATGTTATAAATATCCAAATGGACCTTGGAAGAAAAAAGGTTCCCACCCCTGCTAGTGGGCAAGCACTGGACTTGGGGTCCAGGCACCTGCATTTTAATCCACAGCACCACTTACTAGCACCTGGCCAACACCGATCGCCTTCCTGAACCTCTGAGTCATTATCTCTGAATCTCAGGATTATTGGGAAATAATACGGAACTATGCGGAAAGGAGTCCAGCACAGGCCTGGCTCCTTAATTATGGTGTCTGAGAGTGGTATGTGCTCCTCCTGCCCAGTTGGTGTATCCGAGGCAGCGTTACAGCTGCTCTAAGAAGTGATCTAAATTGGCCAGGTCCTGTGGCTCAACTGTGGCTGGTGGCCTAGCTTTCTCCGAGCTGGGGAGTTTTAGGACCAAGTTGGCATATGAAGTCAGGCTGCTGTTGGCCAGACCTAGCCAGCGCCTGCAGTTCGTATGTTCCACCAACCCTGTGCCCCTGATAAGAATGGCTCACATAGCTGCCCGGGTCTAGAGCAAAATGAAAATGAGGGGTCCCTTGTTCAAAGACTAAGACTTTCCAGAGCGGGACAGCAGAGACCGCAGGGGCCATGTACCCTGTGGGCTGTCCTGGCCATCAGCCCTCCTGCCACGTGTCTGCTTCATGTTAGACCAGCAGTTCTCAACCTGTGGGTCGTGACCCCTTTGGGGGTCGAACGACCCTTTCACAGGGGTCGCCTAAGACCTTCGAAAAACACATATATAATTACATATTATTTTTGTGATTAATCACTATGCTTAATTACGTTCAATTTGTAACAATGAAAATATATCCTGCATATCAGATATTTACATTACGATTCATAACAGTAGCAAAATTACAGTGATGAAGTAGCAACGAAAATAATTTTATGGTTGGGGGTCACCACAACATGAGGAACTGTATTAAAGGGTCGCGGCATTAGGAAGGTTGAGAACCACTGTGTTAGACGGACACCCCTCAGTTTACTCCCTGGAATCTCCCTCTGCCCACTCTGGGTCTCCCAGCCCTGGTTTGGAAGGTGACTTTCCAAAGTCCTGCCACTACGGTTTTATCATTCCAAAGTCCTTGACATAAACTTACTCCCCAAATGTATTTCACTCCTCACCAGCATTGCTCCAAGTGACACATCGACCTTCAAGTCCCCCCCTCCCCCGCCCCCCGCAACTCTGCAACAGCAGGGTCAAAGGCCAGGGCACCTGCCAGCCAGACACATCTCAGGTGGCAGAGAAGGGATTGTGGAGAAGAGGAAATATGAAAAAGAGACAGTGTCCTTTCTGTGGGCCTGGAGTCTAGCCTGCCCCACTGTTTGTAGCTAGAACTTCCTGCAACCAAAGATTTCTCTTCCCACACTGATAGAGTGTCATGCAGCAGGATGGGTTAAAGGAATTAAAGGAATCGATCACCACCCTCCTCTGCCAATGGCTCAATTCCTCTTCACCGGATGTGTCCTTTGATATGCAGGTGTGATAAAGCAGCTAAATGCACTAATCACACCCTTGCCTCCTTCCCTCTTGCACATAATCACACCAGCGTGGGGTGGAGGGAGAAGAAATGGTTTGGTCCCAACTCTGTCTACATAAGTGGCCTCATCTGTAAGTTATGGGTCCTAACCTGTCCCCCTGATGAGCCTCACAGGAGATAGCACAGCCGGATGGAATGTGTATCCGGCAAAGAAGATTGCTACTAACCTTACCATGGCTGTACCACCGCCTCCTCTCGCTTGTCTCCCTTCCCAGCCAAACTGAAACATTTCACGCCATTCTCTTCATTTCCTCCCGGCCCACATTTTCAATATGCTGAGAACTGGCCTCTCTATCACATCACCAGAACGGCAGTGGCTACAGTCCCGGTGACCAACTTGTGCCTAAATCCAAGGTACTCTTGGCTACGGTCTTGCCTGACCGCTCAGCACCACTGACCCTGTTGACGCCCCTGGAAACATCCTCTTGCTGTGACTTCTATGATGGGTGCCCCTCCTGGTTCGCTTTCAACCTATATGTCCGCTACTTCTGCGATTTGGTTAGAGGCTCCTTGTCCTCCATCCATCCCTTAATCCTGCTGTTCCAGCCTCTGTGGAATAGCTAATAGGTGACATTCCTGTGCTCTGGGCATGGCTCACAGCCCTTCACATGTGCTAGCCTGTCTGATCTCTTACAGTCCCACTTTATAAATGAGGAAACTGAAGTGCAGAGAATTTGTCCAAGAACTCAGATTAGCTGACTCTTTGGCCCCTTGAGTGTGGCTCTTCCTAAGCCTTAGGAGTACCCTAATTAAGTTAATAACAATGTACCTACCTATATAGTTTAAGTTTAAAAAATTTGGCTCTCAAAAGAAATTTCAATTGTTGTACTGTTGATATTTGGCTCTGTTGACTAATGAGTCTGCCGACCACTGCCCTAGGCAGTCCCAGTCCCTGGGGCCATCTTTCTGGTCTGCAGGACCCTGAGTCTAAAAGACCGCTAGTCCCTTGCTGAAGCGGGTCCATGCCAGGTGAACAGGAGATGGACCAGGCCACCTAAGAAATGAGCTTTTGCCAAAGGACTGCACATGGAGCCTTTCTTTCTGGCCTCCACATCTGCATGTCTGGGGGTAAGCCTTGTCAGCGTCTCACCCCTGTAAGTACAGTAAGTACACAGCTAAATGCAGTCTGGCTGTGCTTGCTTCGGCAGCACATACACTAAATGCAGTCTGGCTTTACTAATTCAGGTACATCAATGGAAAGGCAAGTTGAATTGAAGACTGTTATTAAATAAACGTGGTTTTCTTACTTTCAACTGTAGGTAATTCTTTCTAACAGTGTTATTGGGCTGGAAGCACTTCCAAGATAGGCTTTCATGGAGTTTATCGGGATTGTAATTAGCAGAGCAATTGCGATCATTTCAAAGTCATTCGAAGCAGATTAAACCCATGGAAGAGAATCAACTGCTCCAAAACACAATAGCAGTCTCCATGCACACACCAGCAATTGCTGTGCCAATTACAAACGCGTGGACTCAAACCGCTGCTGTAAATCTTAGTCCTGATGCAGTATCGGACATCCCTCCCAGCAAAAAACCTCTCATTCACGAAGTAAATGGATGTTTAAAGGATGCCTACTATGGGCCAGGCACTCCCCAATGTGTTGGGAGCCACAATACACAAGGCACTTACCCTGTAGAGCTAACACCCTCGGGGAGAGACACCATTTTCAAGCTAATTATATAAGCAATATCATTTCAAATAGGATAAGTCAATGAAGAGATATAACAAAGGGTCTGATTAGTTGGGGTTGGGGTGGGATTCAAGAGATGGCACCTGAGCTGAGACCTGAATGACAGGATGGAATACGCCCGGCAGAGAGGATGGTGAGTGCAAAAGCTAACTCAGTCTACACCGCCCCCTGAATAAGACGCAAGGCCAAGATTTCAGTGAAAATGGTTTACTTGGGAGGTGCAGGAAAGGAGCAGTGGGGGGGGCAAAAGCAAGATGGGGAAGGACTTAAGAAAGGATTTGCCAATAAAAAATAATCGAGTCAGCTCCATTGCAGGTGACTGCAATGGCATCTCCCAGTGACACTGGGAAACAGTGCAGAGCTCACCCCTGAGTTATCCCACTGAGAAGTGCAGGAATGGGGGTACTTATACTCCAAAGCCCGTCAGTCCTTGGTGAGGGCTCTCCCTGGCACCTCTGCCCACTGCTCATGGGCAGGGCGTCTGCCATGGCTGAAGCCAGTTGGTGGAAGGCCTGGCTGAGGGACGTGAGCTGGGCACTGGCAGCATCTGCTACATTCCAGAAGGAGTCAGTGAGAATGGCGTATAAAGCCTGTGGGGCATGCGTGTAGGACATGACGTCTGTGAGGACGGCAGGGACCAGCTCACGTGAAGCCTGGCAGGCCATGATGAGCTTACATTTTAATCTAAGGGCGTTGGGAAGACAGCTGAGAAACAGAGCAACAGAGAATGGAGGCGTCCGTAGCAGAAGAGCAGGCGGGAAAGAGGGTGGTTTCCACTGGCACGGGGTGTGCAAAGGGGACGGACCCGGGTGTGTTGCCACAGGACTGACATGGGTTAGGTGTGGGGGAGAGAAGAGGAAGTGTGACGCCGTGGTTGGCCTATGTTGCACTGAGACAAGAGCAGCTGGATTGAGCCACTCAAGAACTGTGTAACTTGGGTCTGATCTGGGCCTCCGTTTTCTCTATTTGGGGAAAAAGGGAATAGAACTAACCAACTTCTAAGAATCCATAGCTCTCATAGTCTATGACTTTTAAAAAAAAAAGCAATCACAAAATTAAAAAAAATATTAAAAAAGACATATGTAATACTCTTTGTAATACTTTAAGCAATAAAACAAAATAAAAAATATTTTAAAAAAGCAATCAAAACAATCTGTTTTTAAAAGTTCCAGTTCTTTTTAATAATGCCATAAACGCATGTGAACCAATCACTCAAAACAAAAGCTAGCGCCTGGACAATAACTACTTTTTAAAAAAAAATTTAATCTTTATTGTTCAGATTATTACAGTTGTTCCTCTTTTTTCCCCCCATAGCTCCCCTCCACCTGGTTCCCCTCCCACCCTCTGCCCTTACCCCCCCCCCCCCCCAGCCCTTACCTATTGGTTTTCCCTGACCAGTAATGAGGCTAAGTATTTCTTCACTGGTCTACCAGCCACAAGGGCCTCCTCTTCTCTGAAATATCTGTTCCTGATTTTTGTCCAGTCTCTTCCCGCATCTCCCACACCCCTTTCCCCCCCAAGAATAGTCAGTCCACTCCCTTTCTATGCCCCTGATTCTATTATATTCACCAGTTTATTCTGTTCATCAGATTATTTATTCACTTGATTTTTAGATTCACTTGTTGATAGATGTGTATTTGTTGTTCAACATTTGTATCTACCTTTTTCTTCTTCTTCCTCTTCTTAAAGGATACCTTTCAGCATTTCATATAATACTGGTTTGGTGGTGATGAACTCCTTTAGCTTTTCCTTATCTGTGAAGCTCTTTATCTGACCTTCAATTCTGAATGATAGTTTTGCTGGATAAAGTAATCTTGGTTGTAGGTTCTTGGCATTCATCACTTTGAGTATTTCTTGCCACTCCCTTCTGGCCTGCAAAGTTTCTGTTGAGAAATCAGCCGACAGTAGTATGGGTACTCCCTTGTAGGTAATTGACTGTCTTTCTCTTGCTGCTTTTAAGATTCTCTCTTTGTCTTTTGCTCTTGGCATTTTAATTATGATGTGTCTTGGTGTGGTCCTCTTTGGATTCCTTTTGTTTGGGGTTCTCTGCGCTTCCTGGACTTGTAAGTCTATTTCTTTCACCAGGTAGGGGAAGTTTTCTGTCATTATTTCTTCAAATAGGTTTTCAATATCTTGCCCTCTCTCTTCTTCTGGCACCCCTATAATTCGGATGTTGGTACGCTTGAAGCTGTCCCAGAAGCTCCTTACACTATCTTCGTATTTTTGGATTCTTTTTTCATTTTGCTTTTCCGGTTGGGTTTTTCTTTGCTTCTTCATATTTCAAATCTTTGACTTGATTCTTGCGATCCTTTGGTCTGCTGTTGGGAGTCTGTATAATATTCTTTATTTCAGTCAGTGTATGCTTAATTTATAGTTGGTCCTTTATCATAACATCGAGGGTCTCACTAGATTTCTTGAGGGTCTCACTACATTTATCGGCAGTCTCACCAGACTTTTTGAGGGTCTCATTAAGTTTATCGGCGGTTTCTAGAAAATTCTTGAAAAACCTTAAAAGTGTGGTTTTGAACTCTATATTCAGTGGTTGGCTTTCCTCCATTTCTGTCATTTGTGTCCTGTTTCTTTGTCTCTGCATTTTTTATGCTTCCCTGTGTTGATAGAGTGGCTTTCTGTGCTAGGTGTCCTATAGGGCCCAGTGGCTCAGCCTCCCCAATTACCTGAGGTGGACACTCTTGGTGCACCCCCTTGTGGGCTTTGTGCACAGTCTTGTTGTAGTTAAGCCTTGATTGTTGTAGGTAACACTGGGAGGGGTTGACCTCCAGGCCAATTGGCTGTGAGAATCAGCTGTTTTTGCAGTGGGAGAATGGATCTCTAAGGAGGTGCTAATCTAGCCTCTGCCTGAGGCTACCCAGCAGAAGCCAGCTGTGAAGGAATGCAAGTTGCTGTGGGCCTTGGGCCAGCTGCAGTTTGTTAAGTAA